CCGTTTTTGATACATTTGACCATGGCAGACAACAACAAGCCTTTTCTCATCAATCAAGTTTAGTTGATCAAGTCGAGTCTGGATCCAATCTTCATCACTCAGCCCTGCATCCTTTATAATTCTCAGAGAGGGGATCTGAACCTCAATAGGAAAGACAACCTCCATGTTGTATACCAGAGAGTAGGGTGTTTCCCCGGTTGATGTGTGTGTCGTGGTACGATAATCGTGGAGAGTGAATGGTAGCATCTCATGCCAGTCTTTGTACGTGACTATCATTTTTTGTATGATCTTTTTGATGTTCTTATTTACGGCTTCGACAACATCATTTATCTTTGGTAAAGGACAGTCATTAACTAGGCTTTGAAGGCCATGAGACAAGAATCCAACACATTGAAAGTTTGCCATATTTGGATAACTCTTGCCTTTTTGAAATCTTGAGTGAACCTGGACATGTTTCTCCCTGGCTCTTTCGAATGCCCCACATGCCTTGCCATTCGATTGGCCCTGAGTTTTGATTCAAAGTGTTCAGAAAATTCTTTATTAGAGCTTCTTCGATCAGTCAACTTCTGCATTGATTGCTTAGTTTTGTTGATATGCTTATCCAAAGACGTCTTGTTCTGATATGTTAATTGAAGGACACTTTATTAACATGCCTTCGAAGTACACCTTATCTTTGTTCTTCGATTGGCCCAGAATTGCCTCATTCTAATGGACCACAGATATATCCTTTGAATGGCCCTTTTGTGTGTCTTTCGAATAGCTCACATGTATGCCTTATACATTCTTCGAATAGGTCACCAACATGTTCATAATGTAGCAATCCCGTGCTTGGTGAAACGAAGGTAGGCATGAAGAGGTATTTTCCTTGTGAGTCGAAGGAAGCTTTTTGCCTAGTGGATTGAAGGAAAATCTGAAGAAGTCTTGGCCTTGTATGCTGAAGGCACGCACAGGAAAAGTCATTTCCTTGTCAATCGAACCAGGCATGAAATAACCCATGCTCAGTCGAAGTCTTGTGAACCAAGCTTGTGTCGAAGGATTTTGGACATTCGATCGAAGCTCCTTGTCCAGATGCCGATTGAAGGACAACCTGCTCAGATGTCAATCGAAAACACCTTTTCCCAAGACCAATCGAAGACACCTTGTCCTAATTCCAATCGAAGACACCTTGTCTCAATTCCAATCGAAGACAACCTTATTTCAATGCCAATCGAAGACACCTTGTTTCAATGCCAATCGAAGACACCTTGTTTCAATACCAATCGAAGACACCTTGTTCTAATGCCAATCGAAGACACCTTATCTCAATGCTAATCAAAGAAAACCTTGTTTCAATGCCAATTGAAGACACCTTGTTTAAATGCTAATCGAAGACACCATGTTTATCTTCAAAATTCTTATTTTCTTTAAGCAAGTGTTTGTAATCACCCTATAAGAGAAAACCTTGGAAAACATGAGAGGGAAAATTTTGGGGTACAACACTCCCCAACAATGGTATCAGAGTCCTGGTTCGGCTTGGTGGGGGAGCAGGAGCTGGATTCGGTGTTGGATTCTGTTATAGGATGTGTGGACTCACACTTGTGGTGGAGAATGTTGGGTGCAAGTGTAAGTGGTTATAGTCCCACATTGCATATGAATGGGTGAAATGTTGGATTTATAAGAGAAAAGACCCATTTACCTAAGACCTTAAAGTTTTCGGTTGAGATGTGGCGTCTCCCTCTCTTGTGGTCCCGGAGCATTTGTCCCATTGGTGCTCCCGACTCTGCTGGACTCCCCAAAAATTTATAGCTGCCCCAAACTCGAAATTGCATTATTCTTTGGGATGGATTGCAAGACATAAAAAACCTTCAATATTCTTATAGAACAAAAAGTTTTTTTCTCTTGCAATCTATCTCACATAATGGTGTTGATGTTGTTGTTGGTGTTGATGTTGTTTTTGGTGTTGTTGTTGTATTTTCGTTCATTTGATAGATTGCAAGTGCAAAAAACTCATTCTCCCTTCAAGTAAACAATGAAGGAAGTTAAGATCCCTTCTCTTTTCAAAAGTTACACAAAGAAGGGAGTTTAACTAATCAGATGATGGATATCAACAAAGATATTCATTCAAAGGAGCAAAGATTTGTTTTTAAACAATTTTTTTAATATTTTGTGTAAACAATGTAAGTTCAAAAAAAAATTGACCTCGGTTTTTAAAAAATATCGAGGTGATAAATAAAATCAGAAGATAATATACCTCGATTTTAAGGTAAATCGGAGGGATAAAGTAATCAGATTTTACTATAAATACCTTAGTTTATCATATTTTACCCTAATTCTAACTTATATGTAGTTGCACCACATACAGGAAATATTTACTACTGCCCGTTGCCATGATATTTTTTGATCTTGTAAGACTTAAGAACAAATCTCTGAGATGGATTGCAAGTGCAGAAATTAAAATAAATTATCCGAAGATGGATAAGTTATGGAGTGTTTTTTGGATATGCAACGTAAAGGTATGCAACAAAGTTTGGATTTCACCAAAGAACTATTGTTGAAATCACTTTCTCCTGTGATTTTGTCTACTTGCCAATAGATTTCAGGTATGCTACCAAATTCCTTGTAATATTGTTTTTCTAATATTCTTTGTAAACAATGTAACTAAAAAATAAATTATTTCCACCTTGATTTTTCTCAAAACCGAGAGAATATTTTAGCGTTAAAGTTGATGATATTTGTCACCACCCTTAATTAAATCATTGTCGTCCATTTCATGACTATCAACGCTCAAGACACTATTATTAGTGATCCGCGTGAAACCTAAGTTAATTTCCATTAAAAAAGAATTATGAATATCAAAAGTTGATAACAAAACGTCATGAAGCACTTGAAACTATCTTCTATTTTAAGATATGCAAGAGTCTTTGTTATGAAGTGTTCTCTATGATGGATTGCAAGAGCAGAAAATTATTTGTGTTTAAGGTTTGTGTACTTAAATATTTATTTATCTAACCCTCTTTTCACCTAACCCTTTATTTATCTAACCCTTTTTTTTTTGTTAATATCATAAACAAATGCAAGGAAAAGCAATTGAAAATATATTGTTTCTCAGCATTTGATCTTCCTAGGATATCAAGGATTTGAAGATCCAACATATGATCTTCATGGACAACTTAAATTTTGTATTGATATTTTGTGTAAATAATGTAACCAATTTAATATTCTGGGTAAACATTTTATTTTGTAAATAAATTATTTTATTAGTTGTGTAAATAATACTAATAACTAACCCCTCGGTTTTATTGATAAACCGAGATACATGAATCACTATTATTGTAAATAATAAAAATGCAGACAATGTCGATTGAACTCATGTGCTATTAAAATATTCATCGGTGTTTTAAACATCGAAGTGATAAGTATTTACTTTTCATGACGATCTTATTTATCTCGTTTCAGATGTCGATGTAAAACACATTTCACTTCTGATGTTATATGTGTTATTTGTAGTAGTGTTAGAACAAAAATCTAGAAAAAAATTAATGACAAATATTTCTCCTCGGCTAGTTTAATCAATCGAGGAAATAAGATTAAATCTATTACCTCGGCGTTTCATATAACTGAGATAAAAAAGTGGGGTGCACCATCCAGATTTGAAAAAAAAAAAGTAATTTGTAGGGATCAAACTCATGACCAATAATTCTTTCCCTTTGGTAAATTTTAAATCGGAAAAAAAAATGATACACTTTTCACGACTCTATTTGTTACCTATATTTAAAGTATTTTAAATTGAGGAAAAAATGACACACTTTTCATGTCTCCATTTTTAATCAAAGTAAAAAATATTTTTCGTGGTAGTAAATAACTATCATATAAGTCTTTAAAGTATTAGCTCGTCTCTCTCTAATAACCTAACACAAACGTTATTCCCTTTATAACATAGTCATTGCCCACCACCCATTCTTCCTCCAACATCAAAATCTTTTGTTCATGAATGTATTCTTGATTTTTGTGGTGCAATTAGATCCTTCATCAGCACCACCCATTTACCCCCATTAGGTTCATTATTTCGTACCCCCCTTCAGTAACCTAACTCCCCCCTTTCTTTCTTCGTCGTTTTGATGATATTGGTTGTAGATTGGCGTGATTTTGGAGCTAATGTTTGATGTGTTTTAGGATCCTTCGCCATTGGTTCCGATTACAATGCCTCTTATCCCTTTATTTTTAAATGCCCCTTTCCTCCACTTCCTTCGTCGCTAGTCAGTTCATACATTTAATTTTTACAATTTAATTTTGAGTTGTAGGTGTTTTATAATATCCTTTTGGATTATTTGTTTTATATTTATGAGTAGGAATCTACTCTATTTCATAAAAAGAAATATAGGATCCATCACTATAATTTTGTGTATATATAATTAAATAAATAATAAATATATATTATATATCTTAGAAATATATACAATTTATACACAAAATTATTGTAATAAATAAACCATCCATTTTATTAGGTCAATCCAATTTCTTTTTTATATTAATATATTTAATGTGTTTGCATATCCATCTCCATTCTTTTGTTTAAAAAGAAGTCTGAAACGTGTCATTTTTTCTTCAATTTAGTTTTTAAAATATATAAACTTATTTATTTTATTCATGTTATTTTTAATATGTTAAGCGGTAACATAACAAATTTTATATATTTTAATGATTAAATTTATGAATTTTATATGTTTTAAAAGTTATTTTATATGTTTTAAAACTTATTGGCTACATTCCCGATATCATAGTTAGAAACAATATTCTAGTAAAAATTATTTAAAAAAAAAAAAAAGTAAGATGCAATATTCTATATAATTTCGCGTGAAAAACAAGCAAAAGCATCATATTCCTTTCCTGACATCTATATAATAAGGTTTTGGTTGCAACATTAAACCCATCCAAATACAAAAAAAAACACTAAGTTTTCATAGCATTTTTCAAGTAAGAGTATAAGAATGTCATCTCGTGTGCTCAAAAACCTGATCGCCATGCTTGAGGCTGAAGAAGCCGAAGCTGCGAAATCCAACAACCATGGTACGGCAGACGCATTTAGCAACCATGGTAGCGGGAACCAAGATTTCTCCCGTGCCAGAATCAACAGCGGTGCCAATTCCGGGGACCGAATGAAATACCACACCACCAACAATCGTGGCGGCCGCACTGTAAATAACAGTGGTCATTTCATTGGTAATGGCAATGGAGGGTATACCGAGGGTGACTTTAATGCATCCACAATTAACTATCGCAAATAGTTTTATGTATTTGTGATTATAAATATGCTATATTCAAGGAATAATGAAGTTGAACATATATTTTATAATATAGGTTATGTGCTGATGTATAGGAGGTTTAAAATAAAGGCAATGGTGTTGCTATAATAAATCTCCAAAATGTTTGACTATACTCTCTATATAGTTGCTATTAGTATTTCATTTTGGGTTGAAATTATATATTTCATCGGATTTTTAAGTTACATGACCAAAACAATCTAATAACTTTGATGTGTTGTAAATCAAGTGTAGTTTTTCAACAGAGAAAGGTTAGATAAAATTTTTAAACTTGATTTTTTTATGATTTTTTAATAAAAATATGATAGGTATGTTTTTCAATAGAGAAAGGTTACATAAATTTTTTAGTTATGGTTCTTATTATTTTTCAATAGAGAAAGATTAGATAAATTTTTTAGATGTGGTTCTTATTATTTTTCAATAAAAATATGATATGTATATTTAAATATCGTTTAAGGAATAAAAATAAATAAAATTTACATATGTGTAAGAGAAATGTGAAAACTATTAGACCGAAACTCTAGTGTCGAGATGTCAATAGAAAAAGTTTATTGGTTTGACAAGGTTCAAGCATGACGTCAAAGTCTATTCACATATTGTAGTCGAAATGCTAGGTTTATTAGCATGTCGAATTTGGTCTGTTTGTTATGCCCAATTGTTTAAGTTAGTTTGTTTTCTAAGTTAGTTTGTGTTGTAATATGTCTTAAAACCTTTGTTGATAAAGAGAAAGAATATATTTTTGGAGATTGCATATACCGCAAAAATCGGAAGTTTCAGAAAGTCAGCCAAAAAGTCGAAAAACTCGAGAAAAAACGTAAGAATGATGAATAGTAAAAATTGTATGATCGTACAAACAGTAAATAGTGATCATACGAGCGGTGGATATTGATCGTACAGACTGTGAATAGTTCCATCGATTTCGGATTTTTCATACTTTTCGGCAATTCTCTTTTTGTGTGTTTCAGGCTCTTTCGATTTGGTTCATGGATCCATTTGTGATTGGATTGTGATTATGGGCTTTAGTTGTTGGGTATTTGCTATTATAAATATGTATCTCTTATATGTTTGCAGGTGTGACAATCTTAGAGCTTGCAGAAACAATGGGAGCAAGGGTTTAAGGTATAGCATAGGGTTTTGGCTATTCTCAAGGGAAACCTTAGAAAGGCAAGAGTTTTAGGGAAACATTTCGAGTCATCTAAGGGAATTGGAAAACACTTGTTTATACCTTGGGGTTGGGTTATTCATATATTGAAGGTTGAAGAGCTTGAGAAATACTTGGATAGAAAATATGGTTAATTTTTGGGCGCCTTCAGAGTTGTTCTTGTAACTCATCTTGTAACAACTTTATGAGTATAGTAAATTGGAGAGATACTCTCTCCCCTAGGGTAGATCGTTTGATCGAATTGGGTAAACAAACCTTCGCCTTTTTCTCGTCTTATTCTGTAATATCATCTGTGTATGAATTATTATTGTTGCAGGCCATTTATTTTGGTTGCTACTATTCTTTGCCTCACAAATTAATATTGAATTTTGTCGTAATCCACAACAAGATTCGCAACTGCTTGTAATGGGTCTGTGTGTAAAAGCCCATTAGTTTAGTATGTAAGGTTTCTTATAAATAGCATACTAGTCTCTCATCATTGCATACTGCAAATTCTAATTTAGTGTGAGAGAGATTGTTTGTTATTTTGTAACACTTGTAATCTTGTTTCAAAGAGAAAGTAAATAATAACATTTAATAACCAATTTCTTGTGTTCTTCTTACTTTCCTGATTCCTACCTTGTGGGTTTCTTGCTTTAAAAAAAACCTATGATACTCTGTTCTTGGCATCATTTTCATAAAAAAATTGGTGCAGTGAGCATGGAGAAGATGCTGTCAACAAAGTATGAGATTGAAAAGTTCATCGGGGTGAATGATTTCGGTCTGTGACGCTTGAAGATGAAGGCCCTACTGGTTTAGCAAGGTTGTTTAGAAGCGTTGAAGGGAACCACAACCATGGACGTTGTGTTGAAGGATAAAGAAAAAATGGCTTTGGTAGAGAAAGCCCATAGCGTCATCTTATTCAACCTTGGTGATAAGGTTCTTCGAAATGTGTCGAAGGAGACGAAGACATCGGGTCTATGGGAGAAACTTGAAAGTTTGTACATGACCAAATCGTTGGTCAATCGCCTCTACCTGAAGTAAGCTCTATATTCATTCAAGATGAGTGAAGTCCAAGTCCTATAGGAACAGTTGGATATGTTCAACAAGCTGATTCTTGATCTTGAAAATATTGATGTCAAAACCAAGGATGAATATCAAGCGTTGTTATTGTTGTGTGCTTTGCCCAGAGCACATGCCCACTTCAATGAAACTCTCTTGTATGGAAGGGAGTCACTAACCTTTGAAGAAGTTCAATCAGCCTTGTATTCTATGGATTTGAACGCATGAAATGAGCACAAACCATCTTCGACTGGTGAAGGTATGTCGGTTAAGGCGAAATTCACAAAGAGAGATGGTAAGTCAACAAGAAGAAGGTTAAAAGTAAGCAGAAGTCTTATAATGGTGATGCATCTGGTATTCAATGTTATCAATGTAAGAAGGAGGGTCATACAAGAAAGGTTGCCCTGAAATCCTGAAACATCATAGAGGTAACGATAATGGCAACACAACCATTGTTCAATGTTTTGACTCATCTAATGCTCTTATGGTTTCAAGCGGCGGTTCAAGTAAAGAGTAGATTATAGATTCAGGTTACACTTGCCACATGACTTCAAACAACCACTTATTCTAGGAACTATGTGATCAAGATGGTGGATCTGTATTGCTTAGAAATAACAAACTTGCAAGATTATAGGTGTTGGATTTATGAGATTCAAGCTCCATGATGAGTCAATAAGGTTGTTGACTAAAGTTAGGTATGTACATGATTTGAAGAGAAATTTGATTCTCTTGGTGAATTCGACAAGAAAGGATATGTTTTCCAAGGAGATAAAAGTATCCTAAGAGTCTTGAATGGGTCAAAAGAAGTCTTAAGAGGCGTGAAAAAACAAGGCTTGTATACCCTTTAGGATGAAGTTGTAAGTGGTTCTAGAGATGTTGGATCCATAAAACCTTTGTCGAAGACATAAATTTGGCACATGAGATTAGTACATATGAGTGAAATGGGTCTAGAATAATTGGGGAAACAAAATCTACTTGGTGGAGACAAAGTCGAAAAGCTGAATTTTTGTGAACCCTGTGTACTTGGCAAATCTTGTAGAGTGGAGTTCAATAAAGGCAAACAAAAAACATATGGATCCCTTGATTACATTCATGCTGATCTTTGGGGGCCTGTAAGGTGCTCATCACATTCAGGAGCAATGTATTTTCTATCCATAGTTGATTATTATTCTAGAAAGTTATGGGTATTCATTTAGAAGACTAAAAATGAAACTTTTGAGAATTTCAAAAGTTAGAAGACTTTGATCGAAAATCAGACTGGCAGAAAGGTCAAGAGGTTGAGAATTGATAATAACCATGAATTTTGCAATGAGGCGTTCGACAATTTTTGTGCAACCTCTGGTATTTCAAAGCAGAGAACTATTGCAGACACTCCCCAACTAAATGGTCTGGCTAAAAGGTTTAATCAAACCATTTTAGAAAGAGTTAGATGCATGTTGACTAGTGTTGGATTAAATAAGGTGTTTTGGGAAGAGGCTATTTCAACAACAACATATATGATAAACATATGTCCTTCGATTGTGTTAGATATGAAGACACCTGAAGAAGTTGGTCGAGACATCCACTAGATATTGACAAACTTAGAGTATTTGGTTGTGTAGCCTATGCTCACATTAGGCAAGACAAGGTCGAATCTAGAGCTATGAGATGCATGTTTATGGGATATCCTGAAGGATTCAGAGATTATAGGCTATGGTTCCTAGAGCCATGTCACAAGAGGTGTATCACCAGTCGAGATATTGTTTTCAATGAAGCTGAGATGGCTTTTAAGAAAACTGATGAATTTGATCGAAGTATAAAAATATTTGAGTAAGAGATGGAACATGAAGATATTCTTGTTGAAGTGGAGCGTGTCGATGTTGAATTGTGTATCCTAGAACAAGTCTAAGAAGAAGCACAAGATATTGAATATACTAAGGAAGTTGAAGAAATTGTCGATGACTAGATATTGTCAATAGATAGGCCAAGAAGTGTCATCAATCCACCTAAGAGACTTGGGTATGCAGATCTTATAGCTTATGCCTTAATTTCTGCAAGTGAGGTTTTAGATAAAGAACCTAGAGACTATAAGGAAGTTAAGAGGAGTCCAAATAAGACTGAGTGGCTGAAGGCCATGGATGACGAGATAAAATCTCTTCATGATATCCTCACTTGGGAATTGATCAAGAAATCCATTGAATCCAGATTAGTCAGTTGTAAGTGGATTTTCAAAGTTAAGGAAGGAATCGAAGGAGTTATGTCAAAGAGATACAAGGTAAGATTGGTCGCAAGGGTTTTCACTCAAAAAGAAGGTGTCGAATTTAATGATGTGTTTTCTCTTGTTGTGAAGCACATGTACATTCTAGTGTTACTTGACATGGTGGCACAATTTGACCTAGAATTGGAACAGATAGATGTGAAGACTGCTTTCTTGTATGGAGATCTAGATGAAACAATCCTGATGAGGTAACCTGTAGGGTATGCAGAAAAGAGAAAGGAAGATTATGTGTGCAAGCTGGATAGGTATTTATATGAACTGAAACAGTCTCCTCGATAGTGGAATAGGAGATTCGACAAGTTCATGGTACACATATGTTTCATTAGAAGTTAGTTTGACCATTGTGTTTACTTCAGATTTCGACCTGGAAATTCATTTATCATTTTTTTGCTTTATGTGGATGATATTCTCATAGCAAGCAACAATGTCGAGGATGTAATAAAGGTGAACGGTGAACTCAATAAGGAGTTCTACATGAAGGATCTGGGAGCTGCATCCATGATTCTTGGGATTGACATCCGAAGAGATAAAAAGCAGTCGAAATTATGCTTATCTTAAGAGGCATACCTACGGAAGTTTCTCGACAAGTCCGGTATGAAGAATTCAAATCCTATCGTGACTCTGAAAAATCCTCAATTCAAGATGAGTATAGATGAGTGTCCTAGTACTGAGGTCGGAAAAGCCTATATAGATAGTATCCCATATTCTAACAATAATAGGTTCTTTGATGTATGTTATGGTTTGTACTAGATCCAACATAACTGTTTCCAGTGATTTCTGGTAAACAATCGCTAGTCTTCCAAACTATCGAATAAACTTACTGACTGTTATTCAATTTCTTTGGTAACCCACAGGATCGACTAGATTGATCCTAGGATTCCTTGGTCATTAGGGTAACTCTCATGATCGAACAGATATTCATGGTTGGTATTTGAGTGTTGTATAGGTGTTTGGCTTATTTCGATTTCTCTCTTAAAGATCTAAAGGTGTAATCAAAATATGCGTGTACGAAACTAAATTGCATGAATAAATGTTAATTGTAAAGACATGTAAAATTGCATAAAAAGGCAAGTAAATGGCTTCGAATTATAAAAACAGTTAATGTAAAAGATACTCTGGAACGTAAAAGATTCGAAATATGAAGAAAGTGTTTAATGCAAGAAATCTGTAAATGACTTTAAGTAAAAATAGACTTTTGAAAGACAAAACTTGAAGATAAAGGCATGAAAAGTATGACAGTTTTCTGAAATGTAAAGTGCTTGAAATGTAAAGAAAGCATTGAAATGTAAAGCTTTAATGAAGAGATTTCGAAATAAAAAGACTTTGAATGAGAAAACTTGTAAATGTTATTTGGCAGAAAGATAAAGGAAAGTGCTGGAAATGATAAAAGGTTTTCATTAAATCATAAATATGTGGTGCTATCATACGTACATTGCTCTTGCATTCGTTTCCCTTGCCATGTGGTAGTTTGAATGTTACTGAGTATTTAGTACAATAGATATGACACACGAAATCCTAATACTAAGACTTCTATTTATACTAATTCGACCATAACGGTCTTGCTATAGGATTATGCCACGTTCAGAACATGCAGAACAATGCCTCTCTCTTCTTTCCACGTGTCTCCAAATGCTCCAGCACATAAATTTCAAACTTCG